CCGATTGGACGTCGACGAGAAAAACGCCAAGTCATCGTCGTGATTGTCCAATCGGCGCACTCCGTCAACTTCGGCTCCAACTTTGTGTTTGACGAGTTTAGGGCCCTTGACCTCTTTTTCAAACCGCAGAACTCAGTTCGTACGCAGCATTGCAATCAAAGCCCGTTGTCACGAACCCCCAAGGTCAGACCCAACGCACAACATCTTCACGCAACCTCCAAGGCCTAACCCGCGTCTCGTACAAAGGCCCCGCACTGAAACTGATAAACCGACTCCGGGAAAAGAAAAGATTACAGAAGCAAAAACTTCCGGTCCGCTTTGTATAGTGTGATCGACGGCTGACTGATACAATTGCCTACAGTCGTGATTCTGATTGTCTCTTCCAAAACTCTTTTAGCACAATCTTTTTTTTTTGTTTGTTTGTTTGCTCAAAACAACACTAGATTCCCAATCAGGCAAGCGATTATCGGATTCCTGTTGTTCAGAATAAAGGTGGTTTTCACTTCCGACTTCAAGTTCAACGGGCTTACGCCGTTCGCGGGTGAAGCGCGGGGTTGTCATAAAACGGCAGAGAGAAGCCGCCGTTGATTGCCAGCTTGGGGTAGTATATGATATTCCGATGGCCTGTAGATTCACCTACGTGGGGCACGCGAAAAGGAGCTTGAATGATAGACTGCTTGAACACATGAGGGCAGTTAAGAACGGTTCTCCAAACTCTTACAGGAATTCAATAATTATTTGCCTGATTGGGTATCTACTGTTATTTTGAGGAAAGAAAAAGAATGTGCAAAAAGAGTCTTGAAAGAGACGATCAGAATCACGACTGTAGGCAATTGTATCAGTCAGCCGTCGATCACACTAGACGAAGCGACCCGAAAGTTTTTGCTGCTGTAATTTTTTCCCCGCTGTTCGGTTTATCAGTTTCAGTGTGGGGCCTCTGTACGAGATGCGGGTTAGGCCTTGGAGGTTGTGTGAAGGTGTTGTGCGTTGCAGGGCCGGATTAAGGTAGGGGCTAAGGGGGCTGCAGCCCAGGGCCCCCGACTCTCTGGGGGCCCCCATGACGGAAGCTCGTAGAAAAAAAACAACGAAACCTAAAAATATTTCGGAAAGCGATGTTGCTTTGCCGCAGCATTCGAGAAGAGGGATATGCAAAGATGATGGCGATGTCAGCGAGGCCAAACGCGCTCTTCGCGTAGCACACTCCTATCCTTATACAAAGCCGGCCCTTTGGGTGGGTGACCGGCCCCTAAAGCGCGATCCAAACCAACGCTTCTTTTTGCGCCTGTAGGTCGTGCGGCTGCGGATGTGACGTATTTTCGTGACGTCGCGCCGCTTCTTCGCTCCTTCCGGGCGCGCACAAGAAAGTTGGTTGATTTCAACTTCTTTCTCAACGCGCACAAAAACGCGCGGTGACGTAGTAGGACGCTCCTGTGTCCCGGCCAATCGGTGGAGGGCAAGCTAGTTCCGGCTCCGTGTTTCTCGCCGTCTGGCTGCCCTCTCCTCCCCCCCCCCCCTTTTTATTCTCTTCCAACATGACAAAGCGATCTCTCTCCCTCTCTTTTTCTCTCGCCGTCTGGCCGGCCAGTCTGTCGCAGTTGCACTTTGCTTGTGCGCTCGTGCCTGCGTGCGCGCGTGCGCGCTCGCCCGAAGTTTCGCCCGTCCAAACCAAAGCGCACGATTCTGACTCAGAAAGCGCGCCCGGAAACAGCAAAAACGCCACGAAATGCGTCACATCCGCAGCCGCACGACCTACAGGCGCAAAAAGAAGCGTTGGTTTGGATCGCGCTTTAGGGTGCTTGTCCGCTTTCTTTTGAAAGCGGCTTCGAGCAAGCGAAGAAAACACGCGAGGGGCCCCACGATCTGAAGTATTTCGCTCCTCTTTTTTTATTTTTGTCAGGAAGGGAAATGTCATAAACACCTCCCCTTTCACTTTACTCGTGCTCGTGTCTCGTGCGCGCAAACACGTGCTTTTGAGCAGCGCTTACACTTTGAAAGTGCGGCCTTCGACGCTGCTAGGGAAGGAAACAAAGCTGCATGCCGCCTCCGCGGTGGTCTTGCCGGAGTGCTCCCTAGTTGAAACCAGACGGGAATGGTACATTTTTTTCTTGTATTTTGAGGCTACTTTTAATTGATTAAAAAATAAAGGAAACTGCAGTATTTTCCAGGTTCATTGCCTTAACCAGTCATCATTACCATCATCATCGTCGCCATCATTATCATCATTAGGGCCCCTGAATCATCCTTAGCCCAGTGCCCCGAAATGCCTTAATCCGGCTCTGGTGCGTTGGGTCCGGTCTTGGGCGTTTGTGACAAGTGGCTTTGTTTGCAATGCTGTGTATGAACTGAGTTCCGTGGTTTGAAATGAGGTCTAGACGAGGAATACCCTGGCTGAAAGTCCTAGGGGTCCGTGCAGTTTCCGGGAGACGCGAGTGTGAGAGGTGCACTCAAAAAAAAGGTGTAGCTTTTACACTCCTTGTCACATATTCGTCACCCCAAAACTTTAGTTCGGCGTACAGCGCACTGAGGCTGAACCGAAGGTACCAACTTTCATGAGCGGCTTGATAGCCGAGTTTAACAACTTATTAAAATAGCTAATGTACGTACGACTCAGTGCAAAAAAACAAATAATCGGGGTTTTCTTGGCCCTACTGCAAAACCTCAGTGATTTCCTTTTGTAGTCTTTGATAAGTACTTTAATTGATTAGCATGTTATATCACACCGTCATCAAGCCTCTCGTAAACGTTGGTGCCGTCAGTTCCACGTTATTGCGCTGTACGTCGACCCGAAGTTTTGGGGGGTCAAATATATGACAAGGGGCATAAAAGCTACACCTTTTTTTTTTTTTTTTAGGGTGGTATATAAACGGTTGTGTCAATAAAGTTTAGTAGCTGCGTTTGAGACGTTTTGTGTGCTGTCCCCTTTTTCGTCCGTCGTCTCCAGTTTTTCAAAAATGTGTAACATCAACCAGACGACCAAAACCCTGCAAGGCGATTGACTAATCGGTCTCCGTTTTTATGGCAATCGCCATTTCGGTCCCTTCAAATCTTCAAAACTTCCCGAGGGTCGCTCTAATCCAGTTTAGTAGCCATGGAGCATAATCGTACTGAAGGCGTCGCCAATATAAGCTTGTTTGGCACTGAGTATGCAATCAACTTGTCAATCATGCCCATCTCCACGGATCTCTTACAATTATATTGTTCTTTTCGCGCATTTCAAAACAAGAAAATTATTTTTCAATGCCTCCAAGCACCGACACCGCTGGTGGTGCGAAGGTGTACGCCTGTTTCGCCGGTGTGTGGATAGCAAAATTTTGGTATACAAGAAACTTCTCTTATAAAGGTACCCGTTACCAGCAAATTTAGATCGGTTTACCAACAATGTGGAGGTCAAGGAGAAATTGCTTATTCCATTAGCCAAAATAGCGACCGTACGGAGAGCTTGGCGCTAGTTTCCCGCAATCTAGTTACTTTAGTACAAAATAGAGGGAAACAGTAACCAGCCGATCAGGAAATGCTATTGACCCTCCGGCACCTTCAGTGCCATGTGTTAAGAAAATTTTATTTACAACAGTGGTGTCATGCCCATAACAAAACCAAAACCCGAGAACGCGCTATGTACAGTATATAGTCTTTCAAGCTAGCCAACCATCTAGTGCCCCAAATATCAGGACATATTTTCGTATGCTAATGGTGGTTCAGATCTAGTAGATAATCATCAACGGCAGTCGTACGAAATTTACGGTGTTCTTCGTTGCAGATGGGTTTCTTTATTGGTTTCATTTTCGATGGTGTCAAGAAACAACCACTTCTCAGGAGACACTCACTTTAACAATCTCTGCATAACAATCACCCCATTTTGTTGTCAACAATATGGGCTGTCTGGGGCGTGCCGAAGCCGAGCGTTCTAAGGATTAACACAACTTCAAATGCGTAGCGCACAGAAGATTATATTTCTCATCACGGTGACAACGAACAACAACACAAGGAACTAACATCTGGAATGTACAGTACGCTGCAATATGAAAGACCCACTGGGAGCGCGTGGCCGAGGCGGTGGCTGGCGGGGGCGCTGCAAGCGCTCCGGGCAATTCCATTCTGCTTCGAGGGGAGGACGCTTACTCGGGGCTCAGCACAAAATGAAAAGTTTCACTTTAGTTGAGCCCCGAGTAATGAGCGTCCTCCCCTCGAAGCAGAATGGAATTGTCCGGAGCGCTCGCAGCGCCCCCGCCAGCCACCGCCTCGGCCACGCGCTCCCAGTGGGTCTTTCATATTGCAGCGCACTGTACAAGCTCCTCATAGATGCCCGTCTACAAATTATTTGTTCGGTATCCACCAAAGGGCCGCCATTCGCATGCACATATGATACACATACGTGATGATAGTTATCAAATTGGCCAGGCTGAATTTCAGAAAGGGTCAATTCTCGTTCCGGTATCCTAATCATTTTCTCTTTTTTTATTTGAAATAGAGCGAATACGCGAAAACCAATTTCTATATCACAATCAAGAAATCACCACCTTTCAGTATGCGCCCTTCGTTTTGGTTCGCTAAAAGAGGAACAAGCGTTTTTCAACTTCACGGCCGTAAACGAACGACGGAAGGATCTTTTTTTTGACATCACGTCGATGACTGCAGCGTGCGTACAAACCCGGATGCAAGCGGTAGGCAATATATGTACTCTGTCGGCTTTGTTTCCGAGCGATATCTTCCGATCCCCCGGAAACCGTCGTTTGGTCACGGAGCGCCGTGGGTGGGAGCGGGATATCTCGCTTGCACCGCTCCTGCCGCGGAGGGATGCAACAGTCCGCGAGCAAAGCGCTTCGGGACGAAAGCTTCCTTTTTTTACGCGCATTGGTCATCTAGGAATTTCCAGAGACGCTAGATAGGCAAACTATTATCCGACAGAAAAGCTCTATCTAAAGGTGGGAATATGCTGCGCTTATATGGCAACGGTAAAAGCGGTTGTTTCATCGGTCGTCTGTTTTCTTGCTTGTGTGCAGAAAAAATGAAGAAGCTCGACACCAAGGGGAAAATGCACGCGTTTGGACTTCGCGCACTCAAAGTACACTACGAGGTAAGACCTTTCTTGATATCGTCGATTAACTTATTGCAACTTGTGAACGATGCGTACACTTTAAAATCATCTATACGTTATCTAAACCAACAATAATTCGGCGATCAACTATATCCAAAGTTCTAATGAGTATGCTAAGTTTAACTGTTATTAATTCATTTTGTTTTGTGTCTATACTAACTTACTGCCAGTTGTGAGGCCAAAGCGGGCTGGTAGGCCAACAAAACCACGCACATTTTGACTATTGACTGCATCTGTGGTTACGCAGTTTCATTGATCGATACATTTACCCCCCCCCCCCCCCCGCAAAATAACAACAACAAAGTTTTAAAGGAGCTTGTATTAAAATGATAAGCATAATATTTGATTATAATGTTAATAAACAGGCGAGCTGGTTTAAATTACACACGGTTAAAACCGGAGACAACAAAAATAAAGGACCACGTCAACACGTTGACCTCCCCATTTATTTCCGCCGTCTCAGGTTTTGATTATGAGGAACAATATATTTGTTTTGTTTCGTTATAGTTGTATCATTAAAGCTTGTGTATGTAACATTTCTGAATATCAGTAAAGTTATTACCGCGTAGCAATTTCTAAAATAATTTTATTCGAGCCAACATCATCCTGGTAATTATGGGCAGAAGGTTCGCATCGGACGTGAGTAGGGAGACAGAGTCTGTGGATCAATAGCGATTGAAAACACGTCACACAACCTTAACTTGCATGCACTTTATTTTGTAAATGTTTTATTGCCCGAATGGTTCCTAAACCGGGCTTCCATATTCAGTCGTTTTTAATGTGAGTGACTTACGTACTGTTAACTTGAGCTCTGGACCGGCTAATTCTAACTTGTGTCTAAGTGTCTAACGTTTTTTTAGTGATATGTTGGAAACGTTTTTTAAGTGTGCATTCTAGCTCAGGTTCAATTTGAAAAGACGCCTAGGTGTTCCTTTGACACACAGTTCAAAGGCATCACCCCGGAAATTAGGTGAACTGTGCTGACACTTTTTCGCATTATGTTCTTGCATACACCCCGTTTAAAACGCCGAAATCACACTAGGACAATAAGCAAGGGCACGAAAGCAGTGCGCCCTGTTTTCATTCCCTTTCTTATCGCCCTTGCGTGGTTTCGGTGCTTTGAACGTGACATTAAACCAACTCGACCAAATCGCCATTTTATCATGTATACACTTTTTGTTTTGTTTATTTTTATTTGCCATTCGTCAGGTAGCTCGTCAATTCCTGTAAATGCTAATTTCATTTTGTCCAATCATCGGCAGTCTGTATATCTAAATATATAATTTTATCGTCGGCAAAACTTTTAACTTTGATATCTGCTTGAAATCCTCGACTTACGTCACTGATGGCGGATGAATAACAGCGGCCCAAGAGCTGACCCCTGATCCTGAAATAACGGATACGTTTTTTGAGATTGTACTTTTGAACTGCACGAGCTGTTTTCGACTAACCAGATAAGCTTCAGGTCAGATAGAATTATTGTTAAGACTTGAATTTATGAAGTAGCTTTGAGTGAGAAACACGATAAAATGCCTGGACGAAATCCAAAAACATCGCATCTATTTGTCCGCTTTTGTCGACGCATGAACTTAGGTCGCGTGTTTCTTCTATTAGTTTTGTGATTGTTGAGCCACCTGGATCAAAACTATACTGATAATTTTCTATAATACGCTATTCCTCAACAAACGTCAAGATGTGTTTGGCAATGACGTGTTCAAGGATTGTGCAGTCGGTATTTGTCAGTGAGATTGGGCAATCCTTTTCTAAATTGGTTCTTTAACACATTTTTGGCATCGAAACCACCTTTCCTGAATTCCAGTCACGTGGAAAGCTGCCACCTTTTTACTGGTTTTTAATTTGCACCGAACCTGAGCGCACTGAACGTAGTAACTTAATGAAACCTTTCTTTTCTCGAATTTCGCTTTATTTTAGAAGTTATAGGCAAATTAAAATTACAAAAATAGGGAAAAAATAACCTCCTTCATGACGTCCTTGGTCGCTGTGGCCGACACTAGAGGAGAAGTAGTGAGCTCAGCGAGCGCTCACAGCTGCGCACTTCGTGTCGACGGCTCTAGAGGGCGCGTCTAAAGCATGCTCTGGATAGGCTGTATGAAGCGGGCAGCCAGGGCGGCTCGCACTGCATTTGCTACGCGGCTAAACACTAATTCGGCATGACACTTCATTGGCCACAAACGACAGCAAGCACGGGGTAAAGATCAGTTTAGAACGGGAGCCACTTCGCGCTGTCATAGCGCCAAACGGCCAAACCGCAGGATTCTCGCCGAAGGCCTTCGAAACGCTCGGAACCGGTCGGATCTTTGAGGCTGTATACGATTGCAGCGCCGCCGTGTACATCCGGGACCTTTCTACGCTCGCGCTCGTTGGCGCCTGATCCCACTGCACCTGTCTATTATGCCTTTTCCACCTATTGGTGGCGGGTATGTCTACGGGTCATTTCTTGTTTCCGTACTTTATGAACTGCATTCGTTTCTTTTCTGATCTGAAATACTGAACATCAGCTACTTTCATAAATAATTGAAACGGTTTTCGCAATTTACATTTTGTATTTCGATTTATTGAAAAAGCTTCTAGCGGCTCTGACCAGTAGTAAGGCCAGGTCCAAAGACCTCACATTTTGCGCGCTTCGGCACCTTGGGTCGCCCCCGTCGGTGGAGGAGGTTTCCGCGTCGTCCGGTTAAAATATCATGCACCGATTTTTAGTTACTCTCTCCGTGCCCGCTGGCTCGTCCGAACCCCAAGAGACGTGGAAACCGCAAAAAAGGTAGACGCTTAAATATGATGGCAGGGCCCCTATAAGCAACATAATAAAACAGGAGACAGTGAAACACGAAGGACACACGCAACACCGTTTCAGACACAGCAAAAACGTTTGATTCACCTCACCCTCCCTTTATAGCAAACAAACCTCAACCGACGCGAACCTTTATATAATGTTTCTTCAGCAGTTACTCCCACCTTGTGTAATGCCCGCAATGGCCTTCAAGGTTTTAATAAATGATGATGAGGATGAAGTGGAAAAACAGCATATGCTATTATCAGCAAAACCGGGACCACCCACCGCCGATATCTGATCACTTACAACCTACGAAGCCAACCACAACAAAACATTTGACAGAACGAAATCTAGAAACAACAACAGCAAAAAAAGTCCGCACTTGTTTGTCAAGAACAACCGAAGGAACGCTAAAACAATTCCCTGCTGACGTAATCCTAATAGTTTCTTTCGTAACACGTTAAAACGGATCCAATTCTTCGCAAACTATCTCTGTCAATTTCCCCCCGGGAACGAAATTGTTACACTCGTTTAGATGCTTCACTATTTCGGATTTGGGTAACATTGATAGCAATGCCCTTTTGTGGTCCAGGAGCCTTTCGTTAACGCAACAGCCACTCTGCCCAACATAAGAAAAGCCCCGCGTCGTGGGAATATTATAGGCGACACCTTTTTTGCACGCTATGGCTGAATTTCTGTGCTTTTTGCCACACGCTTTATATGCTCCCAAGAAGGGAGTACATAACTTCAGAGATCCAGCCATAACGTGCGAAAAAGAATTAATATATCGGTGATGACAATGCGCAATGGGTATTACAAACAACTAGCAGCGGAATAAGACTAGATATAAAGCGTTTAATGTGCGTCGCGTCGTCGTTTCTTTACACGCGCTTATTTCCGTGCCAGCCTCTTGCTGGAAACTGACCGCTGGTCGGGCGTCCCTATAATGACCGCAGCCAGCCGCGGGCCGGGGTTTGGAGACCTCTGTTCTAAACAGTAAGGTTACAGTTTTTAGTTACAGTGTACTACGCAGTCGATGACTGCCGCAGATGCGCTCGGGCACTTTGAGCGTTGATCAAAGCGCATTCACTCTGCACTCCCGTTGATCAAAGCGCGTTCACTCTGCAGCGGGGACTAATGCTCTGGCATTAGTCCCCGCTGGTGCCAAATGGTTGCGTGTGCAGGATGCGCGTTCAGCTAAATTTAGATGACATGAGGCATTGTGGCGACCAGATGCCTTCGTGGCAATCGCGTTTAAAGGTCGATTCACGTGGTGCGATTCTGTTTGCGATTTCGCTGTTGCGACGTCGCTCGTGCGGCAAAAAAAGCGTGATAGAGGCTGCGGGGCTTCACGCCGAAGTTGCAAAATCGCGAGGAAATTCGCACTATGTGAATCAGTCTTACCGAAAGACATCTGGTCATCCCAATATCTCTTTACATGAATCCAAGAACGACCAAACGCGAGCTTGCAAAAGTTACATTAACACGCACAGTGCGCGTGCTTTTGCAAATTCATTGGTTATAGTAGGGGACACCAGCCGGACTAGTACTAAGCGCGTGAGTATAAGACGCTCGGCTAAACGAGCATAAAAAACGCTGTACACAACGCCGTTGTACCTGACAAGGTCAGAACGGGTGGGAAGACTTTGAGCTGTCCCGCCTCCCACGCGACCTTCTTACCTTCGTTTACGTTTCGGCGTCTCGTGAACCTCGAGCGTGTTCGCACAACCGCAAGCACGACGGAAGGCAGGAAGCGCGTGCCATCGGAAAAAGACGCCCCGCACTTTTCATCCTCGCAGTGACTGTGCGCCAAGAAGCCGAGGGAAAGGAGGAGACGAGAGCGCGAGAGAACGTCAGAAGGCCGAGCTCTGGTTGGAACGATTAGTGGGTAGGCCTAAAGCTAGCAGCCTTTGTCTCCACTGCACTCCCCGAACGCGGTCGAATTCGAAATCCATGGACGCCTGCGTTCCACGTTCTAACACGCTCTACGAGTTCAGTACCATCGCACCTCTTGTCTCCTCCTCTCTTTGTTTCTCGTCGCGTAGAGTGAGCAGCTATGTATACCTTGCCGGCCGCTGACACCAGTTTTTTCGGAGGATTCCCCTTTTTCGCATTCCCACTTCTTCCCTTTTGTGCTCTCAATAAAGTCCCGTAGGATGAGCGAGCCTCCAACTGATATACTCCCTAGGTTGTCGAAGCTCTATCGGATACATAGCATGAAGCCCGCAGCAGTTGCTTGACGGAGAAAGCCACGGAGGATTTCTAGAACCGTCGGTGGACGCACTGCGAAGCTATAGCAATGTCTCTTTAGGTATGAAGACACGTTCAGCCAAACCACAATTGAAAAGTTTTTTCGGTTGTTTCAAAACACCCTTTGTATTTATCCTGGGGTTTTATGCGCTTAATTATTTAATCGATTTGCGTTAAACCTCGGTATAGGTTCCCAACTTGCACGAGTAAATTTTGACAAAGCGTAAATGTAAAACTTTGGCGCTATTTAGCATTTGGAATATGCAATACGATAACGAACAGCAAATGGGACTGCCAGATGAGGCTCTCTAATTAAGCCCATTTCAGTACACCGAAAGCAATAATTCCAGCCTAATTGACGTGAGAAAAGAATGGCAATGAGTTGCGTGTTTCCGATAAAGGTAACATTTGAATTTGTGCTCCATTCTTATTATACCTGATCATTCATTCACCGCGGGGAGTTATACAGCTGCGATGCCTTTACTTCGTTCACCTACAAACCCGAAGGATCCCCCCTTTCGTTTCCAATAATACTCCAATAATACTGAACAGACCACGGCTGAACTTGCTGATCAGCCACTTTCTGGCTAAAGCTTAAGGACCGACGACCAGTTCACGCCTTCCACTTTTCCCCCGCTTCCTCCTCTCCCCCTTCTACACTCTCAACCGTTGCCTGTTTCCCCCTCCCCCATGGTAAGGAAGATCTTCTGTCTTGCAGAATCTCGAGTATGGTCGTCGGCCTTTAACGCCTTTCTTACGAGATGTCCCACCAATTCCTTATTCCAACTTTTTTTTTTTCTTCTTCACAATAGTCCGACTTCTCAATGTGCTCGAAGGCCCCCGCCTCTGGGGCCCTTCAAGGTTAACTAAACAAACGGGTAAGCAACCTATTTTGACCGTGCTCGTGAGCAAATCATGAAGGTGGTCGCAGCTGGTTGGAGAACCTCCTGGAAGCCTTAAAAAGGTGGACGACGTTGCCCTAAACAACTTGTGATCTGTGAGGTACCCGAAAAAATTCGCGCCAAGTTTCTTCTGCCACTCTGAGGCTCCAAAAATGCTTTCGCATAACTATGTCATAGTTACGTAAAAAACAAAATGGTTCTAGCTTTTTAATACATGATATGGCTTAAACAGCGCAAAACACACGGACAGACTAAGGGAAACAGACACGCTCGTTTTTTTTTTCTTCCATCCGTGTGTTTCGCATTGCTTAAACCACATATTGTATAACTGCCAGCGAGTGAACTGTTGACAGGGGAGGGGGGGGGGGGGGGGGGGGGGCAGTTCATACCGCCTAAACTTAGTGTGCTTCAACGGGCAAGTGAACACGTTTGAACAAAACGCCGAGGGGTTGTATGTTTTGAGCGCAAGTGTCAATCGTAGCTTAAAGCATTTTTGTCGTTTTTTTTCCATCGCTTACATGGTCTTCAAGCTGGTGCCCCTGGTTACAGTGATTGGTATTGCTGCGGTCGGATGTGCAGGATTTTGCGTCTACTCATTTCTAAAACCGGACGTTATGTAAGTATACGGTAAGCAGGTATTCCAAAATGCGTCTTTCGCGCATAGGAACACAGGGAGGAGCGTGCCAATCAGAGGGCAACACAGAGAACGCGCAGGAAACCAGCGTTATTAGATTAGCTCAGTTACACAACTGCTCATAGACGTTGCATGCACAAGCGGTATTCCCCTCACTCACCACGACTCGCCTCCCGTCGTTCGACGCGCCACACGGCTGCTTTGGTGACTGCAGTGTATTCCTATGGGACACGTACGTTTCGAAGCGCAGCGTCTAGATGGCGTTCCCATCGTGCTGTATGGCGCACACAGTTCGTAAACAAAAATCTAGATGGCGCTTTGATCGACGGGAGGTGGACTGAAGTGAGTGAGAGGGGGTACTTCCTCCCGCGGGAGTTCCACAACTCAGGTAATCTAGTAACGTTGCAGGAAACACGCGATGACGAGGCAGCCAAGCGAGCGCCGTCAGTGGTTGAGGTCGGCGGGAAACAAAAGCACGAGAGGGCGTTTAAGGGAAACAAACGCACGCGGTGCGCAAAGAGCAGGCGAACTTGCAGGCCGTATTGCTGTAATCATGCTCCTCGGCGGCCATCTTAAGACTCAATACGCGCATCGATTTACAGTATTCACCTTGAGTGCACTGCGCTAGGAGACTCTGCAGTCTGCAGCAAAGCAGGCGTCTACTCTATCCGAAGCGCAAGTTCGTCTGCTACTTTCGCAGAGGTTCTAGTGACGTCAGAACGCCGAGTTCTGATTGGCTCTCATTGAAAAATAGTGGGAATACCTCGAGGCAGCTTACTTTGAGGTCTGCCCCCTATTGTTCAATCAGAGCCAATCAGAGCTGGGCGTGTTATTGACCCCACCACAAGTAGCAGACGAACTTGCGCTCCGCATAGGGTGCTGAATTCTTCGGTATATTTTTCTTACACCGAATTCAACGCTCTGCCCCTTCGGACAAGTTCCGGAGAAACATTTAGTAAATTTTATTCGCGTTAATAACTTTGAAATAGGTAAATCTGCGAGTTCTGAAACGAAACATGATCAAATCGTCTAACTTGGGTGATTCTTGTACAATCACCCGAACGGTAGTCGGCGGGGAACGTTGCGAACATTTTGTGTGTGTTTTAAAGCGCGTTTTGGCGGAAATCGCGCGTCTAGAAATGTAAAAAAAAAACGCCTACCTTTCTTATTGTAGAACCACGTTAAGTACGAGAAACAAAGTCTAATATTTTTTGCGGTTATGGGGATATTTATACAGCGTGTACTTGGTCAGCCATTAAAGTTGCGACGAGTCACACGCTGTAGATGAGCAATTTAGCCAGCGCGGTGCAACCGCTAGCTTGGGGTCCTTAACGTGCTCACGCATTAGTGATACACGACCGCAGGCCGGTACGATGCTCATCCAGATCGAAACGGGCAGGGGTGGGGCTCGAACCCAGGATCCCTGGGTTCTGCAGCGCGAGCTTTCGCTCCACGCGCGTCGAGCTGGGTGTGCGCTTTAGCCAACTCGGCCACCGATCTCCCAAAGTCTAATACGATGTATTCAGCGTCTTTTAAAGCTGTATCGCAGCCTGTATACGAAGTTTCATTACAAAACAGGAATGAAAGCCAGTATTTGGCTAGGTTCTCGTTCCTTCTCACACTTGGAACACGCCTTCGTGACATTCCAGGATTCGAACGTGTCCCTGCTCGCGCACGTAACTTTGACTGTGGTGCGGCGGCATTTGGTATTAGGCAATTTCTTCGTATTTTCTCCGTGTGCGCGTGCTGTCGGCATCGGGTACTACAAAGAATGTCATCACCCTAAGCAGAAGCGATTTGAGGCACCCTAGACCACACCAGCCAGTTTGGTTTCGCCGCCGCTGCCGACGAGCATCGTGGGAGCTGTTGTCTTTGGGCACGTGCGACGACCCCGCTACAAGGTTGCACGAGAAGAGCACGAGACGGCACAAGCTGTCTCGTGCACTACCGCCTGCCTCCTGCTGACTATAGATGACTACACTACAGTTATGGCAGTGTCACGCGTGCCTAGAACGCTTAGTGTGAGATCAGTCTATTTTATCTGCTCCCACGCCGTATAATTTATTTTAACATCAGTAATCGTGCGTTTTATTTCTTCTCCCAGGGTTAGTCGCAAAGATGAAATTCCCTCGTGGATGCGCTACAGTGCGGACACGAGACAAAAGGTAAGAAGACGCAGCGAGTCTAGAAAATACGGGCTCGTGCAAAATATGCATCGTTGAAGGCTTTTCGTTTGCATGGCGAAAAGTGTCTTCAGTAAATTACATAGTGTCTTTTAGTAGAGCTTTTTCATGTGAAATCACTCATTATACCAAAATTTTTAAAGCTTAGCGGAGTTGCAGGTTCGTCTCGAGGTAAGACATGGAACCTTTAAGAAGTTTGGGTCCTGTCCAAGCTATCCAACTCTCTCTACGGAATGCAAAATCACTCGAAGCTTGGACTAAATGTAATATCGGGTGAGAAATAAATAAGAGCCTTTCTAGTTCTCTGTTACGTGTTTTACAGAAAAATAACCACTGGTAAATATTTCTTTAATCTCTATATCTAAATCTCCCGGTGGATCAATCAACAAAAAAGCACATATTAGTCGCTAACTTGTTAAGTAAGTACACTCATCAAACTATGATGCCACCTGTTTTCTAAGAAAACAGACCACACGCGGGCTCGAGTACTCTCATACTTTTCGCACCGTTGCACTATTGGCTGGTTTGGAGCCACCGCTATCTTATATAGGTAATATTTCTCACATCCTTAGCATAGAAGAAATATAATTGTAGATGTCTTCATAAACAATTGTGCGCACTGGGAAGGTGCAGGAAGCACGAAATGTACTCTCCGACGTCACGCCACTGCGGGGGCGCTGCTGTCGCTTGCGGAGACGCTTTACCGGAAGCGAATGTGGCTTCTGCGCACGCGCAGTGCCCACAGCTACTGCGGCCAAACGCGGCTTTGTCTGCGTCTTGGTGTTTCTCTGGACGACTTGTTCGGCTACTACGTAGTACACCATACATTGGCTGCGTTTGCATGAACGGAACCGTATAGCGCATCGAGAAGAAAAGGCTCGGACCAATCACACGCGCCAATTCCGCTGCTTCGTTCTCATCATACCTTAACCACCAAAAACCTCGATTCGATGCGCCGTGGTAACATCTAGAGCCGCTAAATGAGCTGCGCTTAGAGTATCGGCACTCCGTTCCTCGACATTGTTGTGGGCGCCGCCATTTTGGTGGTTGTGCAGAGCAGACTCAGCTGCCGATCGTCATAATTCAAAAGTGTGACTTCCTCAGAATTATATTCGGTGTTGGGAAGCTCATGTAATATTTCTTGGCTCTGTCGCGAACTGTTCAAACATTTTTTGGAGAGCGGAGAAGCGTTTCCTGTGATTTCAGATAACTGAAATCCCCGATTTAAAGACACGATATGGCCAAGTGTCGTTAATCTGAAGCGTAGCTTATTTAGTTACACTATACATCCAGGCACACGCAGCCACTGACGACATCAAGCTGACCGAAGTGGCCGGACGGAATATTGAGAATAGTCCTATTATTGTCTTCAAATGCCTGTGTGTTTCTCGGGCTTCCCTCGCAGTTGTTGACCATAGAGAAGGACTGGAAGAAGGACAAGACCATGGAGGAAGTTGAGAGACTGCGCAAGGAGATCGGATCCACCCACTAGACCACGGGCCGCTTCTCTTCAAAGAGTCTACGCTTGGCAGGCCTGAGCGCATTCTGTTTGGCTGTAGCCTCACGCCAGAATTAACGGGCACAGGAAAATTAATGTCTGCCCTACCTAGGAATAAATTGCCGGCTGTAGCCGGAACCAAGAACTCTAACACTCGTCTTTTTCGTGCGCACCACCTTAGGTTTCTTACGGGACGCGTTGGCCAAGGTTGTGCGTAACAATGTTGGGCTAGGAAGTGTGAATAACGGGATGATATTGCGGCCAGAGTGGTCATGCCATTCAAGCTTACAAGCGCAGCATAAACTGTATGCGGAAATCAGCGTGGCTTTGCGCTCCAAGTAGAGCAAATAATAAAATCAAAATTATTTAAATTGTGATATATTTTTTTCGTAACGCGGTAGCGTTAAGGACCTCATGTCGCAGAGAAGCCGGCGTCGGTGCCGTTATGCGAAAATCCTGATTGGTCGATACGGTCATGACGTCACAGCCACATGACCTCGCAATGGAATTTCAAAGCACCCACAACGCTCACGTTAGACGCGACGTCACGAGCGGAATAAAAGTGATTAAAAAGTGGCATGCAAGTCGAATTAATTAAAGGACGCCGTATGTCTCTAATGATTTCACTTTATAACGCAATTCATTTGCTTTAAAGAAAATTTTTAAACATTTTAAACGGGATTCGAGCCCGCCATGTTTCGGTTGCGAGCGAGAAAGGCTGCTGACAATTGAAAAAGGGCGTCCGCCCGAAACATCGTGTATACCTTCCTGTCCACGTCTGTTTTTCGAGTAGCACGAGCATATATTTGCGATTTCGTGTTTAGGCCACGCGAGGCACGCTTTTACGGCGAATGCGAAGGCGATGCGACCGGGGCCCGATAACGCTATCGTGTTCCACTCTTAAAGGCGAAGCTGAAGCGTCCTCCAAGTTTTTATATAGTGATTGAAATCACGCTTGTTTTACAACGATGATTTAAATCAAACTTCTCCCGCAAAAATTTTTCGTATTTCCCGTTTGTAAATTGGAAAGTATTATACGCACATGTAAACATTTTGTTTTCCAACTTCATCTACTCTTTTTTTTTATTAAAAAAAAACCTTGAGCAAAAATATTTCTATTACGCTAAAAAAATACCCACCCCCTCCCCCTCCGGATCTCTGACCGGTGTCTGACACGTGACCCAACACTCTCAACAAAAGGGTTGTATACACGTTTGCACGAAAGGCTCCTGTGCGCTGCCATTTTGAGCGATGCTGGCGCCCCGTACCGTTTCCGCCATGCTGGGGTGCGCCAGGGGCACGTCACTGGGGTGCGCGATGACAAGATGGTGCCGTTTGCTGCATCGCCGATGGCTAACGTTAGCGGCACACTTGCTGTCTCGGAACGCAGGAGGAGGTATTCACATAGAATCGTAGCATCACATATTGTACGGCGGGGCATCTTTAAGGGTTGGAGCTGACTCTTTAACGATCGCAGCCTCTGTTCCTGCATGTTGTGGAAGCCAGAGCTGCCTCGAGCGCAGCCATCGTTGATGCAAAGGCCATGCGACTTGTGGCGGATTCTGAAAAGCGCCTTAAGACTTTAGATCTTTTTGAAATTTTTCGATTTGTTACGCCGGTTTATGCATTTTATTTAATTATCCGTGCTCTTTCGCGGTCGAAGACGACACGTGTACGTTTTATAGTTATTTTTTAAATTTCTTTCTGCGCTCAGTGGTGTGCGCTTCGGCGAGAGACGCGTGGCAACATTGTACGACAACCAGCGAACGTCCTGGCTGGAGAGTAGGTCCGCCTCACTTTGGCGCGCGGTTCGAGGTTAAGCCGGGATCCCACTTGCAAAGGTGTATAGGGTACTACACTTGGGGTATAGTCAGAAGCCGTCACAGATATCGCTACCCCCCCCCCCCCCCCCCTTCGTTATACTAACAACCCCATGGGCAGTCACACGGCACGCTATCAGCAGGTAATCACAGTGAGCACCCCCAAAAGCAACATGGCGGCTGGCAAGCGACAGTGGAGCAATACGAGTAAGGCCTAGCGAGCTGGACTGCTTTTTGCTAAAATACGATTCTCAAGTGCGTACGCCCGTTCGCTGCCTTCCGTGCGCACAAAGCACTCCGAAACGCGCCTCGAAGCACCGGCACCGCACCTAATACGAGTAGGGGCGACGATGTGAGGGGGGGGGGGGGGGGGGGAGGGGGAGGGGAGGGCGCATTTGGGGGGGTTTGTCCGCGATTGCTTTCGCGAGGCCGGCTGCATTTACTTCGCGGCCAGAAAACATTCAAAGAAAGAAACAAAATAGCGACAAATGGAATGATGTCTTTATTGAACAGAGCATCTGCTTGCTGTGCTTGCCGCAAGTGATCCGGCGTTTTCGGTTGACAGCGGCGAGGCGAAGCATCACCGATTTAAGCGGCGTCGGTTCCAATCGTTCAACGCTCCTGCTCACCTGTTAGCATTCGTTATCCACTTTCAAGTCCCTGGTAATCCTCACCGCGTATGTGCACGCACTTGGCGCTATTCACCGCACGGAACACCCATTCAACTGGCCGAGAACCGAACCAGACCGAACCCTTTGTGGCTGCTACGTGGAGCCATGGACGCCTCCATGTTTTTCACTCAAATAAGTAGACACATAAACGCGCGACTCCTTGAATTGGGCGGCGACACGAGCCACCTAACGGACAGCGCTCAAACTTAAGAAAAAAAGAAACCAGCAATTCTTGCTCTGAGCGCCTCGCCAGACAATGCCGTATTGACATATCCCACGCCACACTTCACTCATACGCGACAGACAGACATCACAGCATTTTATACATCAACGCATTCAGAAACAGCACAAGATACAACATCACATATTGACACTCTACATTCCTATACAGACGTCTAGTCGACACCACCAGCTTATATACTGCTGTATTTTATGTGACCGATTAGGATGGTGACCATTGTCATATTTTGCATAAATGCGAAAAGACTGAGCAAGATTTAGCCGTATATATTCTTTTCCTCCACTGCCCTTAGGAAAGCGCTCGTATCTCTAATGTAGGGCCATTGCAAAAGTGAACTACAGGTTATAAATAAATTTGAATAGTTGCTCCACGTCACATTTTGAACAGTTTCGTTTTCTCGCTTGCCTACATTTCAAGTATACAGAAGCCTGTTTAATTAATTGTATTAATTATCGAAACCAATTTCTGCAATCACAACTTTCTGAACACACTGATGCATTTTCTTTTCTCTTTTTACATATCCAGACTGACTTTAGCGGCGGTTGGGTACACGTTGAGTACACTGAGCACGCGCAGGTGATTTTAGCGAAGCCCGTCCGCCGGTCCTCCCCGAACATGGAGAATAGAAGGGTAGGAGAGTGCATGACGTCAGCCGCGTAGCCTCCGCAAGCCATGCTCCCCTGACGCCTCGCCTCTTTCGCATTTTTCTCCTTACTCTCACCACACCACGTGACCGTAGCTAGCCTTCGTCTAGCTATGGTGTACTAGAATACACCACAACGTAGCCTTCGATCTGATAAAACCCACCGGACGGAGCGCGCGCAAGCCTGCAAGGATCCTCCTACAATCAACCATCCATCTCGCACGTGACATGTCACGCGCACCAATCGCCAGACAGATCTGCGGTCACGCTGGGCACAAAATCGTTTAAACTTTTTATGACTAGGCTTCACCAATATTGCAACGTGCCCCCTCCTAGTACTTCTAACCTCCTTGTCCCCGAAGCGTTATTTCAGTTTTCTTCTCTTCGCTAAATATCCGTTCTATGCGCTCGCGCTGGCGCCAAGAGGACAGTGCAGAATAGAGTGCCTTCATACACACGCGCGCTTTTGCTTGAGTGGTGACATCTCAGCCATTTTCACGCCCAATCGTTTTTTTATGAATTTTGAAGTGCGCGCAATACGGTGTTACTCAGCTCGAGCGCGCAGCTATGGCTAATACATAGACGCCATTTTATCGCCCAAGTCACGCACCAAGTGCGCGAGAGCGTCACGCGCTGGCACATTCAGTGCAACAATGGATGTCTTCACCCTGAGACAGACAGACATGTAGGCACCCTAAGTGCAGAATTGCTGCTTTCGGGCCCGTGCCTTCACCTGCAACGAACGCGAAATACGTGTGCTAAATTATCTAAATCCTGGTTGAGACAGTAGTGTTTGACTGCGTGCGTCTGACTGCGCTGCGGCAGCAAGAAATCAGGACATCCCTGCTGCTTATATCGCGTACCAAGATGATTCCTCGAATTGGATTCCACGCTTGATACGAAGCACAGACGTGCCGGTGAGTGGCTTTCGGTTCTCGACGCAACGCTGTCAAACGCTAGTGTCTGAACCGGCCTTGTTTGAAGCATTTTTTTTTATCGAGTATGCTCGATGAAATGTGCCAAATGAACCAGAGAAAGTGAATCATGTACCTCGAGACAGAGAAATAGTGAAATACACGGACATGATCCCAGATATCTGTGTACGTTCGTCCTGTCCGGCCTCAGTCGTGGTGTTCAATGCTTCATACTTCACTGCACTTGAAAGCAAAAAAATTGGGTACGACAGACGCGCAAGTTCGGCGGAACCGAGGAGGCCAGTTGCAAATGATCTGCACGCAGAACTGACCGATCACACCTTTATTGAGAGCACGCTCTTTACTGAACCGCACAATAAAAGACGACGAAAGTATCTCGTCCGGCGAACATTCAAGTCAACTCACGCCTGTGCGTAGCTTCCTGCGGTTTTTTAGAGATTTGGTTAAATTCCTCGAGCACGACGCCAGCTGCCAGCTGTTTACTGCTGTACATGGTAAAACCCGCGACGGAACCAAAGAGGACAACCGCGATACTTTTTATCTGCCTCGGGCTTTAGCAGGTGCCTACCAAGGTTGCCTGTACTTGTTTGTTTTCTGCTAGTTTAGGCGAACTGAGCCACACGCTTGTTTCGACCGGTTCAAATTTGAATAAATGATAACCAACGCACAAAGAAAACAAGTTTCAAGTACTTTTTGAGATTTTTGAAGTGACTTTTACTCTTGAACGACTGCATGCACTTGGATGTTCAATTCAAGAGTTTATAAAACGTGACTACCCCATGCTTGCCACCTGCCAACAGGGTGCTAACTCTCAATGGCTCGAGCCCAGTGGGTA